CCATCCCTGGTAACCAACAAAGACTGTTACATTTTATGTAGCAGCCTGAACTCTGAACCACTGTGCCACCAGGGCTCCAATCTCTAAGTATTGGAATTCCGGTTCCACCTCTTTGTACTGAACCCTTTGCGCTTTCAGGGTGCCAGGCCAGTCTCGCTTCCGCGGCTGGGACTCAGATTCTCGGAAATCAGCTGTTTCGGGCTATTCCATTAATTGGACTCCTTCCCGCCGCGGGCGGGGCGGGACTTACTTAAGCTTTCCCACCAATCGCTGGAGCTGGAGGTGCGGTTTGGGCTCCGTTTGTCCCGCCCCACAGGGAGGGCGGAGTTATGGCGGCACCAATGAGCTCTCAGCCTAGGGAGCCGAGGACGGGCTGGGCAAGTGGCAGCCAGGGTCGGGGTGCCCGGATTCTAATCGTAAATTCCGGGTTCAGCCGCCCCAGCGAAGCCGGCAACGAAGGGGCGGGCCGAAGCCGAAGACAGGGCAGGTGGTCCTGGTGCCGAACTCGCTCTGGGAACGAGGAGCCGCTACAAGAGCCACCGGTGGGAGCGGGGACTGCGACCCCAACCAGGTACCTGCTCTGAGAGGGCGGGCCGGGATGAGGGCGCGTGTTCCTCCCTGCGAAGGGAGACAGGCCATGGGGGTTACACCATGAAGGGAGCAGCTTCTATCCCCAGATTGAAATGGGAGCCGTCGCCTGCTCTGCCCTGTTATTTCCCGCTCCTGTCCAGCCTAGCTCCCAAACCCTAGTGCCCCCTTCCCAAAATTCTCCTGCAGTCTCTGAGACCCAGAACCTGACATTATTGCATAAGTTCGGTGTCTTAGCCAACGCTTTTACCCTCTGGTGTACATTATTACTTTTTTGTCTGCGTTACTTTTGATCCTCACCAAACAACAACAAAAAATGTACAAAGTTACATATGATTTATTCTTATTTGTTACGTAAAAAGTATAAGGCACAGAAAGGGGAAACGATTTGCCTAAGGCCACAAGTAAAATTCCATTCATTTTAGAAAACCTTATTAAGCGCAAATATGTGCCTAAGAGAGTGAGAGATATTGGAGGAAAAGTAAAGTGTTAACAGCCTCTTACCTCACAATGTTTGCAGTCTGTTTGGGGAGACCGGGTTTTCTTTCATACTTAAATCTCAGAGTTTACTTACTGCTTTGCTCTTTTAATTCCAGCTGATTACTTCCTAGAGAACTGAAACCTCTTCATATTTTCTGTTTTTTGAAAGCAGTGCAGATACACTGTTTAAAAAGTCAAGCACTTGGTGAACATAACTGATGTCTCTGAACTGTACGCTTAACAATTTTTATGTATATTTTACCGCAATCAAATTATTTTTTAAAAAAAAGTCAAGCCCTGCTAAAAGGGTTAAAATGAAAAATAGGAGCTCAGTCCCTCCCCTTCCTGGTACCTACTCAAAGGTAGAATGGCAGCTGATTCATGCTGGTGGAAGAGACTCTCTCCCATCTCAAACATTTTTCCTTGCTTTGTAATAAAATCATGTGACTTTTTAGACCACAGATGTGCTTGCTTTATTCTATTCTATTGGGCTCAGGCTGCAACAAGAATAAGTTTTAATTCCCTAAAAAGACATCAGATGCAGTGGGTGGGGAAAGAGGTAAGGCCCAGCCTGCTTGGTGACAGGCAAAACCACTTTTGAGTGAAATTTTTGGGTTATTCACAAAGTTGATAATTCACATTGAGAATCAGAGATTGACAGAGGTCATAAAAGTGTTTATAGATTGAAAACATGCTGAGTGAAGTAAGTCAGACATAAAAGGACAAATATTATAAGATCTCACTTATTTAAAATAGCTAGAATACACAAATGTGTAGAGACCAAGTGTGTGTCAGTTTGTCATATTGTGGGGGCTTGTGTCTTGCTGTAATGCTGGAAGTCATGCCACTGGTACTCAAATACCAGCAGGGTCACCCATGGCGGACAGGTTTCAGCTGAGCTCCCAGACTAACAGAATAGGAAGAAGGACCTGGTGGTCTACTTCTGAAAAGAATTAGCCAGTGAAAACCTTATGAATAGCAGTGGAACATGGTCTGATACACTGCCAGAAGTTGAGCCTCTCGGGTTGGAAGGCACTCAAAAGACAACTGGGGAAGAGCTGCCTCCTCAAAGTAGAGTCAACCTTAATGATGTGGATGGAGTCAAGCTTTCGGGACCTTCATTTGCTGATGTGGCATGACTCAAAATGAGAACACAGCTGCAAATATCCATTAATGATCGGAACATGGAATGTAAGACATATGAATATAGGAAGATTGGAAATCATCAAAAATGAAATGGAATGAGTAAACATCAATATCCTAGGCGTTAGTGAGCTGAAATGGACTGGTACTGGCCGTTTTGAATTGGACAATCATATGGTCTGCTATGCTGGGAATGACAACTTGAAGAGGAATGGCATTGCATTCATCGTCAAAAAGAACATTTCAAGATCTATCCTGAAGTACAACGTTGTCAGTGATAGGATGATATCCATATGCCTACAAGGAAGACCAGTTAATATGACTGTTATTCAGATTTACATACCAGCCACCAAGGCCAAAGATAAAGAAACTGAAGATTTTTTTACCAACTTCTGCCGTCTGAAATTGATTGAACATGCGATCAGGATGCACCGATAATTACTTGTGATTGAAATGCGAAAGCTGGAAAGAAAGGATTGGAGTTGGAAAATATGGCCTTGGTGATAGAAATGACGCCGGAGATCTCATAATAGAATTTTGCAAGGCCAATGATTTATTCATTGCAAATACCTTTTTTCAACAACATTACAGCAACTATAGGTGTGGACCTTGCCTGATGGAATACACAGGAATCAAATCGACTACATCTGTGGAAAGAGACAATGGAAAAGCTCAAATCATTAGTCAGAACAAGCCCAGGGGCTGACTGCGGAACAGACTATCAGTTGCTCCTATGCAAGTTCAAGTTGAAGCTGAAGAAAATTAGAACAAGTCCATGAGAGCCAAAGTACGACCTTGACTATATCCCACCTGAATTTAGAGACCATCTCAAGAATAGATTTTATGGGTCAAACACTAATTACTGAAGACTAGACGAGTTGTGGAATGACATCGAAGGCATCATACATGAAGAAAGCAAGAGGTCATTAAAAAGACAGAAAAGACTCTGAAACTTGCTCTTGAGCATCAAGTAGCTAAAGCAAACAGAAGAAATGATGAAGTAAAGAGCTGAAGAGGAGATTTCAAAGGGCAGCTCAAGAAGACAAAGTAAAGTATTATAATGATGTTTGCAAAGACCTGGAGTTAGAAAATCAGAAGGGAAGAACATACTCGGCATTTCTCAAGCTGAAAGAACTGAAGAAACAATTCAAGCCTCAAATTGCAGTATTGAAAGATTCTACGGGGAAAATATTAAATGATGCAGGAAGCATCAAAAGAAGATGGAAAGAATACACAGAGTCACTATACGAAAAAGAATTGGTCGACGTTCAACCATTTCAGGAGGTAGCATATGATCAGGAACCAATGGTACTGAAGGAAGAGATCCAAGCTGCACTGAAAGCACTGGCGAGAAGCAAGCCTTCAGGAATTGACGGAGTATACCAATTGAAATGTTTCCGTAGACAGATGCAGCACTGGAAGTGCTCACTCATCTATGCCCAGAAATTTGAAAGACAGCTACCTGACCAACCGACTGGAAGAGACCCATGTTTATGCCTATTCCAAAGAAAGGTGGTCCAACAGAATGTACAAATTATTGAACAATATCATTAATATCACACACAAGTAAAGTTTTGCTGAAGATCATTCAAAAGTAGCTGCAGAAGTACATCGACAGGGAACTGCCAGAAATTCAAGCCAGATTCAGAAGAGTACATGGAACTAGGGATATCAACGCTGATGTCAGATGGGTCATGGCTGAAAGCAGAGAAGACCAAAAAGATGTTTACCTGTGTTTTATTGACTATACAAAGGCATTCGACTGTGTGGATCATAACAAATTATGGATAACACTGCGAAGAACGGGAGTTCCAGAACACTTAACTGTGCTCATGCAGAACCTATATGTAGATCAAGAGGCATTGCAGAACCTGTATGTAGATCAAGAGGCAGTCATTCAGATAGATCAAAGGGATACTGCATGGTTTAAAGTCAGGAAAGGTGTGCGTCAGGTTTGTATCCTTTCACCATACTTATTCAATCTGTATGCTGAGCAAATAAGGCGAGAAGCTGAACTATATGAAGAAGAACGGGGCATCAAGATTGGAGGAAGACTCCTTAACAACCTGCGTTATGCAGAGGACACAACCTTGCTTCCTGAAAGTGAAGAGGACTTGAAGCACTTACTGATGAAGATCAAAGACTACAGCCTTCAGTATGGATTACACCTCAACATAAAGAAAACAAAAATCCTCAC